AACCGCACCGTAAGGCCACGTCTCTCCAACAAAAGTTGTGTTTTTTGTTAGTTGAAATTTTGGTACAAATGATCGTCGGGAAGAGTTGACAACCCATGAATTCAATTTAAATTATTATTTTAAAATAGCATTTTTTGAACTAACTAAAAATTAATTATCTAAAAGATTATTTTATTATAAAAAATGGCTGATCTTTAGTATAACTGGGCAATATACAATAGAATTATTATAAGATTATAATATATAAAGTAACTATTTAAGCTAATTTTATAAATAATAATAGTTGGATTAGAGTTAGGGTTAGAGTTTTTTTATATTATAATCTTATAATATTTCTATATTGTCCAGCTATACTAAAGAAGATCTGAAATATTAAAAAATATTGAAATTATTGTAGGAATTATTGAAATTGAAAAATTGAAAATGAATTTCACCCTAATTTTTAATATTGAAAAGCTAATTTCACCAATTTAACCATTCAATAATTTCAAAAATTCAACAAGCCTTTTTTATTAAGAAGGGTAATTTCACCTCCATCTATAGTTATTATACTGTATAAGAGCTAACTTTAAATTCTAACTACAGTATTATAAAAAAGCTAAAAAAAAATTCTAAAAATTTTATTTTATAATAAGATATTCAAAATTTTAGCTTACAATTACTGTATTTAATTTATTAATTAAAAGTATATAGTAAATACAGTAATTTATCAAATAAACAAAATTATACGTATATACTGCATTATTTAAAAACCAATTTTAAAAATTAAAATAATAACTTTAAATAGCTCAAATTTATATATATGCTATATAATAATTTTATAAATAACATATCATACAAAAAACTAGATCATTTATTTATATCTAATCTAGCTATATATTTTGAAATAATAAAATTATATGAGATAAAATACTCATGCATCATACAGTATTTAGAATGGTATAAATAAATATGCAAAAAATCAAATTCTAATCAAAAACAAGACAATAATTGAGATAAAATAAAACCTAATGTAAAGTTCGTGTTATTAATAATCAGCTAACTACCTTTTATCTAATATACATTTTGCTACATTCTTATGTATCTCAACATATTGACTCTTATGCAAGCAGTCATTGCAAAAACGCCTCTGCTATAAATATTGTCCACCTAAACATTCGTTAATAACATTTATTGAAAAAGAATACTAGTACATTAGGAATAGATAAATCAATTAACAAATATAGTGTGAATCTTCTCAAAATCAGACGGATTTTTAATATTAATATTATGTGAATGCGTATTGTTGGGCGTGTCTAAAAGCGGAAGTCGTATTCGTCCAACAAAAGAAGGTCGTGTATCTACAATACCGTTCTAAATATTTGATAATATATGTTAATTGGTTAATTGTTTATCTAAAAAAGGCAGATTATTTAAATTAACATACCTTTGAAGGTTTCTGAGACTTTTGCAGGTTCATCTTGCCCAACTGTTGTAGTTTTGACTTCAAGTCGTTGCTTCGTTTTTGTAGTGTGTACATAACAGATTGTTGTATTTGATATTGATAAATTGGTGTTTTCTTTATCGACTGCCATTTCTTCTTGTCTTCTAATGTTTTTGTAATACGAACAACACGAGGCGATGAACTATTGGAACGGAAGTCCTATAATACGAATGTTAAATTAATAAGCGGTTGTCATATACATTAAACTCAAAACTAAATGCAATGATAAGGTACTTTAAGCAATGATTTTGCTTCCTGTGCAATATTCGATAACTCTTCACTATTATTTTGATTTTGAATACTGCGAGATCTCTTAGGTTGTAGATGCCAATTCAACACGCTCAAAGCTTCCTTTCCTTTCAGATGAGAATTCTCTGCTCTTAAATAGCGGACCGCGAGTTTTAAGGACTCGATCTAAGAAAGGATAAAATAACGAGTTTAAATATGTAATTAAATGGAAAAAAAGACTTTTTCATATGATAAATACCTGACTAGTTAAATGCTGCGTTTCTAAAGGACTAGCTTCTGATATTATTCCCATGCCATCACTACCAAGATCATCTTCCTCATGAGGACGGATAGGTTGTTCGGATTGTAATTCTATTAAAAAATAAAACATAAATTTATTGATACATTAAATAAATAACAGAATAAAAGAAAGATACAAACCTTTTCCATCAAGATTAGCAATCAGAGTAGAAGATTGTTGATGTTGATGTGCCAAATTTTCGAGATCGTGATGTAATTTGCCCATAACCTCCTCAAATTCTGATTCTTGTTTGTTTTTATTAGCAAGTTCTTGTTCTAAAGAATTAATCCTGTCAGCCTATGCAAAAAAAAAAAAAAGTTAGAAACAATGTTGATTATAAAGCAATATATATGTATATATTACCTGCTGCTTAACAATTTCCACACGCCTCTCTAGTAATCCGATTTTAACACCTGCTTCTTGCAAAGCTTGGTCCTTTAAATAAATATAATCTGAAGTTTAACACGGATGAAAAAGAACAGAATGCCAAATAAATCAACATATAATCATAATATACCTTTAATTTCATTTCTTTAAATAATTCTTGAATTTTTTCGCTAGACTGTTGTAATTTACGTTCCATATCGACGTTTATAATAACTTCAGCTTTTAATTCTTTGGACCGTATAATCCACGGAGCTTCGTGTTTAGATACTGTAAAAATAATGATTGACAAAATTATATAGAGTTAAAATTGCATAAATATTATGATATTTTATGTTAAAAACATAAATAGTACCATTTTCCGAATTATCAGGATCGTTAACAACATTATTCAGATTGCCTATTTCTTGACATAAATTTTGCAAAGATTTTGTACACCCTTCCCACATCTTCATTTCGTTGACACTCAAAATACTTTCAGTGGCAGTATAAATAATTTGCTGAAGCCCAGCAAGTTTTAATTCATCTTTTGTGCCCTTCTTTCCATTAATATAATCCGAAACACCCTTCCAAACCTAATTAAGAAAAAAAAAAATTAAGCATCTGAACAAAAAAAAGTTAAGGTATTCAAACAATACAAACCTCAAAACAGAAATTTGTTAATTTCGTGCTTAATGAGTGACACATCTTAAATTGTGCCAAAATATCGAATTTCAAAGAGGAAGATTTTCCGGACAATTCATCAAGACGAAGATGCAATTTCCTTTAAATGAGAAATAATGTTTATTAACTAATTACTGGAGTTTAAACTCAGATATTTCCATACCTGACCATGACTTTACTATTCCGAGATTGTGTTACTAATGCTTGCAAAGGTTGGAAAAATTCAGAATGAAATTCTTCAGAGTTATCGGATACAATAATTTCTAAAGATTGTATGAAATATATATTTAATAACAGATAATAACAGATGTATAAAATAATTAAATAAACTATTATTATCTGACCTTCATCTTTGCATGCTGTCGCAACAGCTTGTTTTAAATGACCAAGAGTCACTGCAATAGTATCAGAATTGAAATCCAATGCTCTAGCACAAGAATAATGTTTATCAGCCTCATCTAATTTAGTGTTGGAAAGATATATTTCTGCCAAGTGTTCTAATTGCGCTATTGATCTGGTAAATGTAAAAAAATTAGAATATATGAAAAACGATAAGAATTTTATTGAGACAAATTACAAACCTTTGAACAACTTCAATATTTTCAGATTCTTTTAGTTCTTCTTTTTTCAACAAATCCACGATTGAATTTATACTGTTAACGTGAAATTAAATTAATACGATCTAGAAAATCCGATTGATTAAGGAATGATATTATAGAAAAAGACACAAACCGACGCTCCGTTCCAATAAGATCATGATAGACTTGACCCATCTTTAAAAAGGTTTCAACTGGGCAACCGTTTATGAAAGTAACAAAGCGCTGAGACAAACTAGAAAACCACGCTAATTTTTGTCGTAGCTATTCATTTGACAAATAAAATATTAACGTCATAATAAATTCAATAAATATTAACTAAATATTCAAACGTACATCACAGACTGCAATTAATTGTTCTGGAACAGCAGTGTTTAATTTTTCTGCAATATTATGCTTCTGATCAATCTGCTTAATAATTAAATCTGATTTGAATACGAGTCTTTTTAACAATAGTAAGCAAAGAATTGAATCATTTTCGGTACGGATAAAGGTATCAGGTAAGTAAGGCTAAATATAAAAAATAGTGAATAACTATTAGATCATTAATAATTAATCATAAAGCCGTATTTGGTTTGTAATTAAATCTACCTGAACATATTCCAAATTTTCAGTCGCTTGCATGGCATCCAATTTTCGAAGTTCCAGATCAATTTGTTTTGCTTGATTTTTAAGTTCAGTAGTACTTAATTTAATTCTTAGATCATGCATTTTTTGAGATTCACTGCCAAGATTTTCTGTTCCTGAATTTTGATTTTCTTCTTTTCGACGGAACTGTTCCAAATCACTGTATTTTGTAGAAAAATTGACTTTCTTTAAATTTCTTATTTTATTTATTTATTTCTTTTCTTTTTGAAATATTCACCTTTGCAATGTAGCAACAAGTTCACGGAAATTGGAGATCGTGTTTTCATAATCTGCATTTGCTTCATCTGTTGACTCGATACGTCTTTTATATTCACGAATTTGCATATCTTTGCGATCTGTTGTAAAATAGGTAAAATTTAAATTTATATTATTCACAAAAAAACTATCCGACATTCAAAACATACCAATTTCTTCCTGAAGCTGTTTCTCATTTTCAATATGAGATTCTTCAAGTTCATCATTTAATTCTTTTAGGGCTTCAAGATCTTCAATGGTATTTTTCATTTCTTCAATTTGCTAATAGTAACCAAATTTAAAGTGTCAGTAACACACCTAAATTCCAACGACAAAAAACTATTATAGAATCCAATAAATAATTTACCTCTCCTTGCATCAGATTTGTTTGAGTAAGTTGTTCAAGCATATCTGCATTATGCATGACATCATCTAACTGGCTCTTTAAATCTTCAATGGCAATTTCAGCAGCATCCAATTGGTTTTTCATTTGATCGCGTTGCACTATCGACGAAATTAATTAAGAATACATCATTTTAATCAAAGTTTTTGAAAACTAATATAAAATATGAATTAGACGATGTAAAACGATAATAACTTTGAATATCTTGAAGAGATGACAATTCTTTTTCTAAACTCTTAAGCTTTTTATTTAGTTCAGCTTCCGATTCGCTTGTAACCTCACGGAGCCTAATTATTATTATTATTATCATTATTATTACTTATAATATTATTATTGTCGCTATTTAAAATATTAATTCAAACAATTATAGTACCTGAAGAGAGCTTCTTTAAGTCGTTCATTTTGTTTCTCAAGTTGAGCGAATTCAATAGCTGATCTCGTTTCATCACTGAGTCCTGAATAAATCAATTATAATCAATATTATGAATTATACTGCCAAAATTTTGTAATAAAAAAAATATATAACTCACCGCTCTCATGTTTTTTAAACACAGTTAAATCTACACTAATTTCTTCAATCTTTTCTTTCAACATATTAACCTCTTGTTGTAACTGATCAGCTTTTTCTTCAGCCACTTCTTTATCAATAGCCATTATCTCCATGGACTCAGCAGCTTCGTTATATTTACCCTCAAAAGCTTCTTTCTCTGAATTAATTTCTTTCAATTGCTTCCTAAGATCACGTAATTCTAGTTGCATTTCAGCCATTTTCGCTAAATATATGCAAATAAAATTGATGTATCAGGTTAGTAAATAATTATTTAAAAAAATATATTCTTGTATCAAAGTACCTTGAAGTTTTGGTTTGATACTCAATATTTGTTCTGCGTCAGCTCTCATTTTATCAGTTTCACGGATTCTCTCCCTATCTTCTTGGCGTTTATTCTCCAGTATTTTAAGTTTCATTCTCAGCTCGTCATACTCTTTTTGAGAAACAGTCTGATGATGGAATAGACTCACATAAATATTTATGAAACACTATGGAATGTGGAATGCTTTTTAAGAAAAAAAAAATAAATAAGATATACCCCTTGTTCTCGTGCTTCCTGTAAAGAAAATGGATCTGGAGCATTAGCAGTTTCATGCCTTGGGGTTTCTAAATATTTTGGCGTATCACTTCTGGGTGCTGAAGCTCCAGGTTCATATTCATCAATATTTTCATCATCAGCATAATCCTCGCTTATATCTTGGTTATTGAAATATACTGAGTCAAAATCAAGCTTTTTTTGATCTGGGTTACTGGCATCAGAATATCCACGTGGTCTTCTTTGAAATGTGGGACTGTTTGGTCCGCGTCCAAATTGACCTGGTCCCCTTGATAACCTATTAATATTAGGTATCCCAGAAGTACTATTTCTATTCGATGGAAAAATCATTGAAGCAGGACGCTGTCTTAAAGGAGCACCATCAGTTGAATTCGGTGGCGCAAAACTTGTTGGTGTTGACTAATTAAATAAAAATATATGAAAACAAAAAAAAAGAAATATGGAATTCAGTTTTAACTACAGTAATTCGATTTAAAGCCACATTTTTTATGTAACTCTTACCGGATTTCGAGGCTGAGGAATTGAATTAGATGGAATTGAAGAGCTAGGTGGTATCTTTACTTGTGAAGGTCTAACAAAAACTCCATGATTTGGTTTACAATCAAAGTAATGTTTGCTATTAACAGAACCGTTGTTCTTTCCTGATGGATCATCTAGCTCAACACCGACCCATTTACCAAGTGCAAAGTCGGTACTGCCCACAAACCGAATTGTTCCCGTTTTTCCTGCTATCTCACATCTTGCATCGACCACTATATCTGACGATGATGTCGTTGCCATATCTACGTTAAAAAATTGAACTAAAATTAAAAGTTATATGTAACTACGGTGTAAAATTATAGATAAATATCACCATGTGACAATCAAATGCGAAAACTAAATATGGAAACGACTCCTGAACGTTCCATCGTTATCGCTCATCAATGTGTAAATCGCTTATACGTATATATACTTAAATCTCTGTGTACATAGCTTAATTGAGTATGCATTTTTTTTCATTAAGTAATACGTATAAAATGTTTTTTGTCTTAATAGAAATGTCACATACGTGATTTTGTGATATTAATTTTGATCAAAGCACAAAAATTCTATTGTAAATCCGATTAATCAAGACGGCATAATTTTTTATAGAAATGGGCAAGGTAATAATGTAAGTAATAAATACATATTTTTTTACCCAGTACTTACACATATCGATATGTATATACTAATTATTGATTATGACGAATGATTATTACGATTTTCAAATTGGGGAGAAAATTTTTAAACGTTCAGATTGAATTTGCATATATCATAATTCTTTACTTATTACGCAAAATATTTACTGATTTGCCCATCTAATTTTTTAGCATTCGGAAAATTTCCGTTAGAATATATTTGGCACCGATTTTGATGCTTTTGATTATTTCAAGTGTTTAAAATTATTAACGTTAAGTTGTGATTGCAATTATATATAATATTATTTATACTGTATAAACGCAATTATCGTAACTTACGTAATTTATCGTTACAGGTTGTTAGCTAGACACGAATTGGTTATATACTTGATATGCATCATGATTTGAACTATCTGATATGCGTGGTTATTTCCGATCCTCTGAAATAAATATGATCGAGAATAAGAACGGTTAAAACATGGAAAATAACGATATATACTAAAATTAACATCAATGTTGGGTCCAGACTTTAAACGGCCCTGGAAGAAATTTTCATATTTGAAGCAAGTGACTACCGTTACTTGCTAAGCCCATTGCTTTTTACCTGTTCTAATCTAACTGTATAGCACTTTAGAGAAGCACCAGCTTGAATTATAGTGAATCAGAAACTCTTCGTACAATAGTTTTTGTTAGCATTCATATAATAGTATCATATAATAGTATCACATAATTCTATCGTCAACTCGAAGCGTCCGGAAAATGTGTACCAGATTGGTGCACCACAGTGGATGCTAATTATAATGTGGAGTCTTTGTCTTGAAAATGACCTTACGGTACATGATACTGTAAAGGTCATTTTCAAGGCAAAGACGCCATGTATTTATTCCTTAGCTTTTGATGAATTGAAGCAACGACTTATCACTGCATTCTCATCTACCCAAACTATAAACAAGAATTCTTCCTAGCAACTGATGTTTCCTATACAGGATTTGGAGCCATCTAAGCCAAATATCTGATAACCAAAAAGAACACTCTATTGCTTATGCTAGCAAAAGTTTAAAGAAAGAAGAAGTTAACTATAGAGCTACAGAACTAGAATATGTTGCCATAGTATGGACCATTGAACACTTTTACAAATACTTTGGCACAAATCACTTTATCCTGATTACTGATCACTCTGCTCTCAAATGATTAAAGTCTTCACAACCTAAAGGATGCTTAGGTTAATGGATAATAAAATTACAATCTTATTACTATACTATTATTCATAAACCTGAACAAATCTATTCTAATGTTGATGCTTTTTCAAGACTACTAATCCAGGCACACTTCTCTTCTTTAATCTCTGTTACATGAATTTAGATCAATATTAAAATTTAGTAGAATATCTAGAATTAGACATATTACCTCTGAACTTACTAACAACAAAAGACAACTATTAAACAATCTGGATATTATGAACTTAAAAATAAACTGCTTTACAAGAAGAACTAAAAAGACTCTATCAAACCCATTCAAGTAATTAAATGAACTAAAGTTAAATCTATACTCTATATAATATATAGTTATTCCACTGTCAAATATTTAGAAATTAATGCTATGTACTATAAAATATTTGAATGATACTATTAGGACCAAATATATCGAGATATCTGAAGCTATATACAATTATGTGAAACTTGCCAAAAATATGAAAAAGTAAATGAAAGGAACTTCTCCATTCTATATAGATAGAAAAAGCCTTTGAATGGTTGGTATAAACCTAATAAAACCTCTTCTTATCACTATCCAAGGCAACCATTATATTATCATTGCAACTAATTACCTTACTCATTGACTGAAAGCTAAAGCTATACCAGATGCTGGTACAGAAATACTTGCTAGATTTATTTTTGAAGAAATCATATGCCGCTATAAAGTATCTAAAATAATTCTTTTAGACAATATAAAGAATTTTATCAGTAAAGTTGTTAGAATATTGTGTGAAAATTCTTGACTAAATATATATTTTCTTTACTTTATCATCTCCAAACTAATAGAATAGTAGAATAATTAAATTAAACACTTTGCAACTCTCTTGCAAAAGTAAAGAAAATGAAGATTGGGATATACATATATCTGCTATAGTGTTTATATACAGAACTAAACAATATTGTTATATTAGTATTATATTAGTACTTTAAAATTTTTTATTACTTATCTACGTGTAACTACTAAGTGTAGTACAAATATTATTTAACCAATAGAATTTTTAATTTAGTTTTATTAGTATAGTTTTTATAGTTTTTCATTTAAACCAATAGTTAATGAGTAATTAAGTCTTGTTAGCTAGTTTCTTTGGTTAGTCTCTGGCTAGCCTCCTTGGTTAGTCTCTTTGATTAGTCTCATTAGCTAATATCTTTGACAAGTCTCTTTGACAAGTCTCTTTAACAAGTCTCTTTAACACAATAGTACAATAATATGAACTATAATTGGTAATTATTTAAAATTGTAAAAGATATATAAACCCGGCTTTTTAATTTAAGGCTTAGTCTCCTGTACTTTTTTTTTTTTATCTAATAAACTAATATTATCTTGTAAAATACTTACTTTATACACATTTTATATTCTGTTATCTCCTTTTATAGTAGAACTATTGTCTTTTTATTGTCTTTTTATTTTTAGTATCTTTATATTTTTCTTTAGTTATTTCTATTAGTTTATATACATACACTTGATATATTTTTCACTTTATCTTTGTTTTAGCTTTTTTAGTTTTATCTTAGTTCCTTTTAGTGTTTATTTATATTATTCACATTTCTTACCCTCTTGACACTAAGTCAAATAATATAGTTTACTGCTACCAAAGTTTACTATATTACAATATGTATTTACAAGATATACTTCTTTTTAATTGGTATATAGATGTCAAGCCATTTTACCTATTGAAACTGTTCTTCCAATAGAACCAAATATATCTGATGAAGAAATAGCATTAAAAAATAGTAAATTACAAAGAGCTTTCAAACTAATAGATGAATTACTTAGACAATAATAAGTAAAATTTTTTTGTTTTTTGGTTTGTTTTTTTTATATTTAATTAATACTATATTTTTTTTGTTATTTATTTTTTATATATTTCTTTAGCTTTTTTTATATTTAATATTTATAAGTTTATATAAAAAATAATAAAGTTATTATTTTTTTTTTTATAAATTTAGCAGTCATACTTTAACTTTATTAGGCTTTGTATGAGTCTTCTAGACTGGTAAAATTTTACACTAAGTTGTATTTAAAAAGATAAGTGATAAACTCTTAACTTGTCAGCAGATAGCATATGAAAACTATCTCTAAACAACAAGTGCCATAGTATTAAACCTAATATTATCTAAATTACAAGTTAAAACTAACCTAGTTACCTCAATTGGTACTTATATTCGATCTGCTATAGCAAGATTTTCCTCTTTCCGGACTTCTCCTGCACTTGAATATGATCCAGCTTTCAACAGTGGATCTTGCCGCCTGTCATGACTATCTCCTCTTCTTTCAGACTTCTTCTACCTAAGCCTGACAATACAAATAAAACCTTTATTCGTATATAAAAGTAAAAATGTAAAGCTATATTTATAAAAGACATAAACATTTTAGAAAAAAAACGCCTCATGGCAATAAAAAAAAAAAACAAAAACTAAACCAAAATTTCTAAAATAGTCTAATATAAATAAACAAAGATAAAAAAAGTGAAAAAAAAGAAAGTAGCCATGATATACTATTATCATTAGCAAAATATATTAATGTAATCTTACATAAGTTATTACGCCCCAAAATATTACGCAATAATTATGGTCTGGACTAGAGTTAATACCTGCATCCGGATTTAATGATTTGATGGCTAAATCCGGATTAATGATTAAATCCGGATTTAATCATCAAATCCGGATTTAATATTAAATCCGGATTTATATTATAATAAATAATTTCGTCTTTTTAACCTT